AGAATGGCTGAGATGTTGATACAGAAGCCAGGGCCAGGACGTAGCTCAGTGGCGCTGCCCCTGCTTGGCAAGCACAAGGCACTGAGTTCAATTCCAGTTGCTGGAAAAAAGCCAAATCACATGTGATCATCTGATGGGTGGCTCTGAAGCTAGACAAGTGGGCAGGAGAGAAGAGATGAAGCCCAGGGAAGAGAGTAATTAGTGAGGGATCATAAGGTAAAAGGCTTTTGGATCTTGGCAGTAAAGGTGAGCTGTGCCAGCAACCTCTTTTTGGCACTGGCTCTTTGTGATGAGTGGGAAATCTTGCTCGGAATAATGCCAATAGTACAGCAAGGGGAGAAACACCAAAGATATAAGTGTAGAATGTTTGGAGAAGCTGTTCTGGTTAGGTCTTATGGAAGAAAATACAGAGAGGGTCAAACATGGAATAGTTTGGATACTTCTCTCTATGTGGGTGGGTGAGAGTAGCACAGAAAGAACAGGACTGAAGTGAGGTAGAGGGCTTGGCCAAAGCCTCCTGGAGCTTCTCCTTCTCAGTGTCCTGGTTTTTAGAGGTATCACCTTTCTGTAATAGCATTATGCTGAGAAGAGTGCCTTCCAATGAAGTAAAGAGTCATTGGAGGAGAACCACATGTGATCCTCCAGGTTGCTGTACCAGGGAAGGCCTGGGGAGGAGTCTGAAAGGGATTTCACATAAGTAGTGAAAAGGGAAGAATTTTTCAATATTTGATCTTGAGTTCAAAAGAGAGATTTCATGCAAAGCTGTGATTTCCCTTTTGCTGCTGACCTGGTTTGGGAGTCATTATAGGAAATAAGAAAGTGAATGCTAGTGTCCCCTTTGTGCACTATCCACTGTAATGCTACTTGGAGGAACCCAGAATCCTGGACTATAAAAGGGACAACTGTACTCTATTGACAGGATTGTTCTCCAGGCCCTCATGATTGGACCTGGATAGAAAGAGTGATAGAACAAGTATGAAACTATAGCGTTAAAAAAAAAAGAGGGCCGGGGATTTAGCTCAGTGGTTTTGCCGCCTGCCTTGCAAGCACAAAGACCAGAGTTCGATCCCTGTACCAAAAAACAAACAAACAAAAAAATAGCTATAGAGTAAGCAATGTGTTGGGTCAAACCAGTGGGTGAGACAAGATAGGTGACAAAAAATGGAAAACACCCTCATCTCTTCAGATTTGCTTTTATGTCCTTCTGAAGCTTTTTTTTTTTTTTTTTTTTTTTATAGATGACAAAAAATGGAAAACACCCTCATCTCTTCAGATTTGCTTTTATGTCCTTCTGAAGCTTTTTTTTTTTTTTTTGAGTTTATTAGTACATTTTAGCTACACAGTAGAGTTACATTCATCATTGGGATCTTGTACTTCTACATGACAGATCTTGGTTCTCATTTTTTCCCCTTGTCCCTGCCCTCCCTTCTTCCCCTCCTCCCCTCCTTCTGAAGCTATTTGAGTGGAAGGCTGAGGCTGTGTCAAGTCTAACAGAATGGAGTCATATATGTGTGTCTGCTTTATCATTACTGGTGTGAGTAGTTGTGGTGGCTTAATTAATGGTCAGTTTAAATGGCAGCATCCAGCTGAACTGAGTCAGCATGGGTGGTTCTGGGCATGGAAGACCCACCTGAGGATTGTGGCTGAAGGGCATAAACGGAGAACTGGGGGGTGCGGGTCACCTGCTACTGATTTCCAGTCCCAGATTGCATGCTGCCGGAAGCTTTGTTGTGGCTGGGTTTCCTCCCGTGGGAGGAGGAGCTAGGGGAGATGGCTGCTGCTCTCTTCAAAGCAGCTCTGTTTTTTGCCTTGAGTGTTGCTTTCTGACTCCAGTGCAGATCCCTCAGGCTTCTAAGCACAGATCCTTTGCTCTGCACGTGCAAACTCTAGCTTCCACCACCGGCCCTTGAGCCTTCCGGGTGCAGCTCCTGGATACGGACTTGCATGGGACATTGCTGTAGTCTCTAGGCCTCTGGCTGGATTCTTCTGGTCTCTAGCACGCAGACGGATCTTTTGCACTCTTCTGCATCTGACTTTTGCGGTAAATATTATAAGATACTCCTATGAATTTATATATCCTGTGTTAAATCTATTCCCTCACCAACCTGACTACCTCAGTAATGTAGTGAAGGGCGATGGTCTGTGTGCTATGTATTTGCCATCTCTGCCCTAAATAAGTGTTATTCTTTGAAGAGTGACTTCAATATTTCTGGTAAATCTTTTACTTATTATAGGGGAGGTCTGTGTCCAAAGAAAGCTTGGAGATCACAAGGTCCAAAAGTATAACAAGAACACTTTGGTGTTATGTATGCATCAAAAAGTTCTTTTGTGTTAAGGTACACAGACTCTATTTTGTTCAGATGACAAAATTTTGGTCTGATGGTGATTAAAGATAAAACGATGGGCTCTGCAAGATCATGCATTCTCTGTGCCAGCAGAAGTTCAAGTGGAATAGCTCCTTGAAAGAAAACACAGGAGCTTCCAGCGCTATTTGAACTTCAGATCCATTTAAATACCTAGTTCAGTGGTCTCTTTAAAATGTAAGCCTAGCGCATGATTTTTCTTAAATTCTCAGGTTATTTTCAGAATCTTTGTGATTTTCTTAAGGTCATGGTCACTTAGATATTCATGAGTATTCATTTTTTAATGGTTCAGTAGAGCTTCAACTAGTAAAAAAAGTGATTTGACTTAGAGAAAACCATAATGTTAAAACAGATTAAATATGTATATGACAGAAATAAGGACATTTTTTCTATCTCTGTAGAATATTAAAATAGATTATCAATGGTACTTAAATGGAACCTTTAAGGGTTACACTACCCTTGCACATACAGACTCTTGGTGTTGAGAGTTTACTGTGTGCTAGGCATTGTATTAAATATGCTGTATCTGTTATCACTTATATTTGTTAGTAGTCCTCATAACAACCCTGTGAAGGAGGTCTTATTATTATTCCATTTCGCAGATATAGAAAATAAGAACCATGGAATTTAAGTAACTCATCCAAGGTCACATCACTAGTAGGTGCTGGGAGCTGGGATATGAATACAGATTTGGCTCTGATAAATACTATCTATGAGCCCTCTGACAAGTTGTTTTAACTGGGCTTGTTTCTTCATCTGAAAAATTCATTTTTTAAATTAAGTTTATTGGTACAGTTTAGGTACACACTCCAGTTACATTCATCATTGGGATCTTGCACCTTAATATGACTTATCTTGGTTCTTATTTTCCCCATTACTCTACCCTCCCTTTACCCCCTCCACCCTTCCCTCTTTACAAAGACATTGTTTCCATGTTTTTCCTTTTCACATATTTTTTCTTCTCCCTTTTTACCTTTACTCTACCCCAACAACTTCCTCTACTCTTTTAGGCCTTTTCTTCCTGTTACAAAATATCAATTATACATTTTGATCCTTATTTAAACTTTTAGTTTTTCACACCAGAGAAACTATTGGGTATTTACATGTGTGTGTCTTATTAATTTCAATTAAGCATATGGCCTCAATGTTCATCATCCACTTAGCTATAATCTATAGTTTCTCATTCTTTATGGCTGAGTAGTATGTATTTTATTTAAAAAAAACATCTTCTTTATCCACTTTACAGTTGATGAGTAATTGGGCTGTCTCCAAATTTTAGCTATTACAAACTGTGCCGCTATAAACATGGGTGCACATATATTGCTGTGGTATGATTCTTTTAATTCTTTTGGGAAGATACCCAGCAGTTGAATGGCAGGGTCAAATGTTATTTCTAATCCTCATGAGGTATCTCCATATTGATTTTCACATTGGATGCACCAGTCTGCACTCCCACCAACAATGAAGAAGAGTTCCAATCTTCCTGCAACCCAGCCAGCATTTGTTATCGCTTGATTCCTTGATAGCAGCCATTCTTTCTGGGGTAAGGCGGTGTTGCGAGCCGGCGACACAGAGCACTGTCCAGCAGTGTCTCAAACCTGAAAGAGCAGTGGGGTGGAGATGGGGCAGAGAGAAAGGAAGGACGCCAAGACAAGAGTCTGATCAAGGCGACATTTATTGCCGGCAAGCATCGGCCTTTTAAAGCAAAAACAAAAACAAAAACAAAAAAACCCCACAAACTATTATGGGATGGGGTTACCATAGTAACTGAAAGGTCACACAGGAAAAGAGCAAACAGGCTCAACAAAAACAACCACGGTAGGTAGTAGTAACCCAGACAACCACACATTTGAATGTCAGAGACAAGAAACTGTAACTTTCAGGAATTCCACAAAGGAAACACACCACTTTTTAAACTGGAGAAATTTAACAAACATGGAGTTACTAAAGTTAACAATACTTATAACTAATACTCATGACTCCCACAATTCCTCCCTTTTTGTTTTAAAACTCTGGTTCCATAGCAAGAAGAAGCTTAAGAGAAACTATAGGCATGTCTGAGCCTGTCTTAGGTTGAGAAAAGCATTTGGCTGTCTTACCTGTCATTGGGATCATCTGTTTTATAGGCCTATAACATGATGAAGATTTAACAGAAGCCCCTGTCTTAGGTTGATCAGTCAAACCTTTTCCTCTTACACGTCTTTGACTTTCCAGACCCTCATTGAAGCTCTCTTTTTATCTGAGCGAGGTAAATGCCCAAATTTTCGGAAGACCTTTCCTTAAGGGCCATGAGCACATGTAATGTTTTGCACTGTATATAAACCTGATTTGAGATAACACAGTATTTATGGTATTTCACATATTAGAGGCCCCATGCCAAAAACATTCAAACTAAGGCTAGTAACTTTTGACATCTGACAATAAGCGTATTTCTCCCAATGCAACAGCAGGTTTCCAAATGTTGGTTTGAGGAAAATGTGAATCTGTTTTCCAAAGTCCTGCAGATAAGCTTAAGTTTATGGAATTTCAAAATGACCAGTCCAAGACTTTTGAGATGTGTCATTAAATAACCTTTCCGGAGGTATAGTAACATAACATCATAGTATTAAGGACAGTGTCCCCCCTCTCCATTCTAAAAATTGAGGAAGGGATATATACCATGCAAGTCAATGAGGGGAGGCGAGGGGTGTCAGAGAAGCAGGTTGTTGATAGAGGAAAAGATGGCCTTGACATCTTGACAGAAGCCCCTGTCTTAGGTTGATCAGTCAGGCATTGACTGTCTTACCCGTCATTGGGGTCAACTGTAGCAAGAGAGGAGAAGCCTCTAGAAAAGTTCAGGGACATTCCAAGGCTCTCCAGTAACTGTGACTGTAAGGACTTGGCAATATTCTCTTTTTGAACCTCTCAGACGTCAGGCTTATCCTCTAGTCTCCATAGACATTCGGATTTGCAAGTAATTTTCCTCCTGATCGGCCAGATCAAGACGATGGTAATGGATTTGAATGGCTTTGGCTTGCATGGTATCTATCTGTTGTTTAATAAAGGCCGTAAGCCTCTTAACTATTAGAGGCCCGATGGTTAATAATATCAGGAGCCCTAATAGGGGCCCCAATAAAGGGAGGAGATAAGGTAGAAACCCATTGAGCCCAGTCCAGAGGGGGTTTTCGCATAATTCCCTTCTGCGTTTTTCTACATCTTCCTGTAAGGTTTTGATCTCATCCCTAACAATGCCAGACTTATTTGCATAAAAACAGCATTGTTCTTGGAGGGCAAGACAGATTTCTCCTTGTTCGGCAGTGAGCATATCTAAACCTCTTCTATTTTGAAGGACAACCTCTGCAAGGGAATCAATTTGATCTTGCAGATATTGCGTAGTATCAGACAAGGTTTGAACACCATCAATCAATTATTGAGACAATTTGGCATATTTGTGCAAGGAGACACCTAGGCCGGCGGTCCCAGTGCCAATGGCCGTAGAAATTCCTAGACCAATCATTAAGGGAATGAGCTGTACAGCCCGTTTGGGTCTTCCAGCTATAAAATCAAAGGTGGGAATTGGGACAGGGGTATCTCCTGAGATAATATTAATATTAGGTAAAACAGTAGCGCTTAAACATGTACCTGTCCAGTTTTGAGGTAAAAAGGAATATGCATAAGAATTTCCACAAACAAATACAAAGGAGTTTCCGGAACATAGGGCTGTGCGATCAACAATATTTTGACAATAACAATACTTGACAAAGGTAATCAATCCCACATCTATATCAAAACTATCATTGAAGGGCATACTATAAATACATTGGGGGATAAAATTGTAAGGAAGAGGGGATTCCAAAACTATTAGAATAGGGGAAAAAAATAGAGCAATTAGCTATATCAAAATCAAAACTAATATTAGACAGGGGGATTGCCAAGGGAACGAATGGGCCCTGTTTAAGGCAGAGCCAACAATCCTGAACTAATGAGGGGTTGGTGATATTTAGAAGCTGGTGGATCTGAATCAAAATATCAAGGGTGGCCCCATCCAATGCATCCTTTGTACGGGAATGAAGATTGGCTAAAGGATGATATCTAAGAGAAGGGACTTGTGCCTCAATGATTTGATCAATACGAGCTTTAACATATTTTCGTTTGGCCTGATCTTGGGGGCCATCCCCATCTGTGATGTAAACAGAGGGAGAGCGACGCCAATAAACTTTTTGTCCAACCTCTCCAGAACATCCGGCGGTCATGAGCTTATTGGTTGATCCAAGGACTTGGGGGTTATTAGACCAATCAATCGCCTCCAAGGCTAGCTGACTGCTCTTTGAGGAGGGTGGCAGTATACTATATTTTATCCCCTTGGGAGCATTCTTGGTATTGTTGATAACAGGAGGAATGCATGGATTCTTTAAAAGTGTGGCAAGGACATGGGGGGAGTCCGCCATCTGGGGATGGAGGGAGGGGTTTAGGTTTAGGGATGCATTTCCATTTAGATCCAGACTGATATAGAAGATAAGCCATTTTATCCCCACAATCCTGAGACTGATATATCCCAGTGGGGCGAGTATAACTCGAGAAAGTGCCTCCAAGGCATTGGTAGGGACTTCCTTGTTGTTGCTGAAGATGAAGCAGAGCTTTGCTGGGATTGCCAAAGCCTCCATATGAAGTTTTGATGAAGACCAGGGGAAGCAAGGATCGGAAATTCACACTTGAGGGCATTTTGGCCTTGGAAACCTAGAAAGGAAAAGGAGAGGGTCTCAGGGATGTAGGTCACCTGGACAAAAAGGTTAATTATCAAAAGAATCCATCTGTCTGAGAAATCTTTCAGGAAACCATCTGGCAGCCTTATTTGATGTATCATAGACACAGGCATGACCGTGGCCCCAAATGAGGACCGGACCTGGGCCATTCCAGGCGGCCGTAAGTGGATCCTTCCACATGACTTTAGCATATTGTTTGCTAGCCTGGGGATGCCAAAGGCGGTCAGCAGTTGATTTCCCATTGACATCCAAGGTGAGGAAATTAAGGACAAATAAGGCATGATGTAAAACATTTTTGGGGGAGCTGACAGAGGGATAAAGTGAGGTTGCTTTTAACTTATATAAGGTATTCTTGATGGACTGATGGGCTCTTTCAACAATACCTTGGCCTTGTGGATTATAAGGAATACCTGTGATGTGTAATATCTGTAATTGTTTACAAAAGTCTTGAAAATTTTTCCCAGTACATCCAGGGCCATTATCTGTCTTAATTGTAGAGGGCTTGCCCAGAATGGAGAGGCAGGCTAGGACATGAGATATAACATTTTTGGATGCTTCTCCTGCCGGAAGAGTGGCATAAATAAATCCACTGAAGGCATCAATTGTAACATGCACATATTTGAGCTTTCCGAAAGAAGGGATACGAGTTCCATCCATTTGCCAAATTTCATGGGGAACTAGCCCTCAAGGGTTAACTCCTAAATGGGGAGAAGGTAATTGAGTGACACAGTTTTGGCATTTCTTAACAATTTGTCTAGTTTGTTCTCGAGTAATTTTGAAAAGAAGGCGCAATGTATGGGCACTGAGATGATGAAGTGCATGGGCCTGTTGAGCTTGATTAATAGGATCTGGGTTGATGGAAAGAAATATTTGGGTGGCTCTATCGGTAACATTATTCCCCATAGCCAAAGGTCCAGGGAGACCAGAATGTGCATGAATATGTCCAATAAAAAACCGATGATCTCTCTGATGAATTAATTTCTGTAATTCTGAAAAAAGAGGTGTGGCATTGGTGGTGGGCTTAATATAAGGAACAGTCTCTAATAAGGGAATAGAGGAGGCCAAATAGGAGCTATCAGTATAAAGATTAAAAGGATCATGGGAACATTTTTTGAAAACTTATAAAACAGCATAAAGTTCTACTAATTGTGCAGATTTATAAGGTGAATGAATCTTCCAAGTAACATTATCAATAGTGAAGGCTGCGATTCCATTGGAAGAGCCATCAGTGAATATTAGACTAGCATCATCAAGTGGGTGAGGGGAAGTCCTTCGGGAAAAAAATTCTTGGATGGATTTTGAAAAATTGGAGTAGTCTATCGGCGGGGTAATGATTATCAAGGATACCAGAAAAAGCGACAAGGGAAATGGTTCATTCGTTATCATTTTGCATCAACCATGATATTTGGGCTGATGAATATGGGAGAATAATTGTATCGGGTTTCTTACCGAAGATTTTTAGACTTTGTTCTCTGGCCAATCGTAAAAGTGTGGCGACCCATGAAACATAGGGAGTGAGAATTTTCTGAGGGGAAGTGGGCAAATGGAGCCAAAGGAGTTGTCCTTTTTTTTTTTTTTTTTTTTTTTTTTTCAGAAAATAGTGTATTTTGAAGATAATCATCAGAAACATGTTATAAAATTATTTTGGTGGCTCCCATTAGTGAACAAAGATCAGAATAAATTCTCTGAGCAGCTGCTTCTTTATTCACCAACAGGAGTGTATCCAAACTTAAAGGTTATATTTAATTATCTTTCAAGTTTTTTATTTGATCCTATAAAGCCAGGTTGTAGAAATCAACAATCTATTTGTATTTGACGTCATTTTGATCAAGAACATACAAACATCTTTGAACATTTAAGACAGACAAACATATAAGACAATTTTAACGAGTGCACTCAGATGGTTTTGGCCAATTGAATTATAAAATCTTTTTGTTATGACTAGTCACAATTTTTGCAGGTCAAAATACACAGAGATCTCTTGTAGAATTAGGGTTAAAGGAATGAATACTCTTCTTGACTATAAATGTAAACCTTTTATAACAAACCAACAAACTTTTATAACAAACCAACAAGCAAACATAAATAGATGATTTCCACACACCTCTATATACTTAGGCCTTCTGGTCTTGTATATCTTTCTTTACCTGTTTTTAACAAGATGCAAAAGTATAACTCTTACTTATAGCTTTTCTAATATTTTTCTGTCTCATTTACTATCAAACTTCTATAACAAACTTCAGTTTAAAGTGTCCTTTTTCTGTTTTCATACTATGATTGTTTTTTCTTCAGGATTACTCAAAGCGGGTTAGTCATCTGTATGCTTTCCCACATTAAATCCTCTGTAGATACGACTTGTCTGACCAGTCGTTCAGGTATCCAGACAGGATAGGGGCTATCTGTAGGGAGAACATATACAGAACCTCTTCCCCAAATTATAACAGGATTGGGTCCTTTCCATTGACCTGTAAGAACATTTTTCCAACGAACCTTGGCATAATTGGTGCTGGTTGTGGGATGCCAATGTCTGTCTGTAGCAGACAGACTGGAGGCATCAAGAGTCAAAAAATTTAAAATGAATAAAACATGATTCAAGAGATTTTGAAGACTCGTGGGATACCATATTCCCCCTTTTATTTTCTTAAGATAAATTTTGATTGTAAGATGTGCTCTTTCTATTATACTTTGTCCTTGAGGATTATAAAGTATACCTGTAACATGTTGAATGTTTAAGGATTGCAAGAATTGTGAGAATCCTTTACTAACATATCCAGGTCCATTATCAGTTTTGATCTGTTTTGGAATTCCTAACATTTTGAAGGCATATAGACAATGGCTTATGATATCCTTAGTAGCTTCACCCGCTCATGGGGAGGCAACAAGAAACCCAGGAAGTATTGATAATGACATGAACATATTGCAATTTTCCAAACTCTGGGAAATGGCTTACATCCATTTGCCATATCTGATTTGGGGTGATGCCTCTTGGATTAACTCCAAGATGAGGAACAGGGAGCAATGGAGCACAAGAATGACAATTTTTAACAATCTCCCTAGCCTGTTCTCTAGTTATAGAAAACATTTTTGAAAGAGTGTTGGCATTAACATGATGCAGCTGATGATAAATTTTTGCTTGGTGGACGGAGTCGTTGACCAAATTGGCAGAATAGTAATCTATTATACCCTTAGTGGCAAAATCGGCCAATTGATTACCTGAAGATAGGAGACCAAGAAGTCTGGAATGTGCTCGAACATGTCCAATGAAAAATAGTTGTTTTCGATTTTGAATCAATTTTTGTATCTCTAAAAATAGGGAATGGGCTGAGGATTGTTTATCAAGTTGTCCAGCTGTTTCCAAATAAGGAATGGAATGTACCAAATATTGGCTATCTGTATAAATATTGATTCTATTATCAGAAAATTTTTGAAAAACTGCTAACATAGCACAGAGTTCCACCAATTGTGCAGAAGCATAGTTAGTCTGAAATGTGATGGACTGATCATTATGGAAAAAGGCAACCATGCCATTAGTAGATCCATCAGTGAAAACCAAAAGAGCATCCTTTAAAGGCTGTGAACTGGTAACCTTTGGGAATATAAATGCCTGAGTTTTAGCAAATTGAATAAGCTTATCACCAGGGTAATGATTGTCAATCTCTCCTGAATACTGAATAAAAGCTAAAGGCCAAAAATCTGTGGTCTGTAAGAGCCAATTGCATTGTTCTTTATCATAAGGAATTATTATTTTATGAGGTTCAAATGCAAAAGTATGTTTTGAAAACTTTCTAGCCTGCATACAAAGTTTGGCAACTGCCTCATAGTAAGGCAATATACTCTTGCCTGGGTTAGCAGATAAATGGAGCCAATAAATGGGTGCATTTTGCCATAACACACCCGTTAGTGTTCCTTGGGAAGGACAAACCACAAAGAACAAAGGCTTAGAATAATCAATGCAGGAAATTTGTTGTTTTTCTATTGCCAATTGAACTGTCTGTAGGGCTTTATTAGCTTCTATAGTGAGCTCTCGAGGGGAATTTGGAGAAGGATCTCCTATTAAAATATCAAACAATGGTTTTAATTCATGAGTAGATAATTTTAAATAAGGATGTCGCCAATTAATATCTCCTAATAATTTTTGAAAATCATTAAGGGTTTTTAAATGATTGGTCCTTAGAACTACCTTATTATGGGCTATATAACTATTATTTAATTGAAATCCTAAATAAGAATAGGGAAAATTCAATTGCACCTTATTGGGAGCTATGTGAAGGTTAGCGGCTTTAACACTCAGCACAAGATCAGCATAACAAGAATATAATTCACCCTCATTCAAACAAGGTATTCAAACAAGCTAACAACAGATCATCCATATAATGTAGGATTTGAACTGTGGGCCAATTTTTTGAACCTCAGAAAGGGCTTTTGCTATGAAATATTGACATAAGGTAGGGCTACTGGCCATTCCCTGAGGTAATACTTTCCATTGATATCTTTTCATGGGCTGAGCCTAATTGATTTCTGGGAGACTAAAAGCAAAATACTGTTTATCCTCATGATGTAAGGGAATAGAGAAAAAACAATCCTTTAAATCCACTACTATAATTTTAGATTCTTTGGCAATGGCTACCGGGGAGGGTTAGGCCTGGCTGAAGAGCACCCATTACTATCATTCTTTTATTAACTTGTCTTAGATCTTATAAAGGTCTCCATTTTCCAGATTTCTTTTTAATTACAAATATTGGGGAATTCCAAGGAGAGAATGAGACTTCTAAATGGCCAAGCTCAAGTTGCTCTTGTACTAAGCTATGAGCAGCCTGTAATTTTTCTTGGGAGAGAGGCCATTGATCCACCCACACAGGAGGTCCAGGCAACCATTCAATTTTTTCTGCGTGGGGTACAGCTGAATCAATGGCCCCTAAAAAAAA